CAGACTGTTTCTTAATTCAAAGGGAAGTATCAACAACATGAGCAAATCAAAGTTTCCTTCCTTTGTATTGCTCTAAGAGTGGCATTTGTGAAAGTGCTGATATTTTACTGAATTTTCAATAGTTCCAACTATGGAAGTTTGATCTATGCAGTTTTGTCCAGCTCCTGCTTCTGAAGGTTGAAACCCCAGTTGATGTCAGTTGAGTGGGCTGAGATTAATTTGCAGTTGAACACTTCTCATCTGCAGGTTTGAAAAACCAGGCAAACTTCCATTCTAGTGTTAGCACAGAATATCTTTTTCTTTGGATCCTGGCTGGCCCAGATCCTTCATTTCCCTTCCAATGTAGCTAATTGATCTCATCCCTATTAATAAAACCTCTTTTGCCTTCCTAGCTATAGCAGCAGCACTGGCTGCACAGTCAAGGAGCTAACCAGAGGGAAGGCAGGATTAGTCCTGCTCATAGGACTGATCATCTCAGTGTGGGACAGGGTGAGGCAGTGCCTGGTCCCCCATTGTCTTTCCATCCCTGGCTATTGTCCAAGCAGGGTGTGAGGCTGCTGGCAGAGAAGGTGTGTTCAACTCTGGGTTAGGCTGACCACAACAGCAGCCCACAGTAACAGAGGTGAGAATTTGGCCTCATGTAAATCCATCTGAGATACATTTGTAGATGTATAGAAAGATAGAGATACAAAACATCTTGATGTAGAATTAAAATTGACCCAGGACTAGAAAAATTTTTGGGTCCAGCTTAGAACCTGTTTGTGTCCTAAAGAGGAGCCAGTTTTCATTCCATTTCTTGGCAAGAGGAGCCTAAAAACATGGTTCAATTTCAGCCAGTCTGATCTCTGCATGAAGGCAAATCTATTTTGCCTCTCTCCTCTGTTTCCCAGGTGATGGCAGTCCCTTGGGCAGCTGCTATTGTACCAACTACAGGCAGCAAATCCAGCCAGGCAGCTGGAGCTGGAGCTTGTACTGAAGCTTTTGGCCAGGGTTTGCTCATGTGGGGTTGAGGGAGACAGGTCACATACTGACTGACTGCCTGAGGGGACCTCAGCTGGATTTTGGTCTGTTTTATGGAGGTGTGCAATAAATAATTAACTTTCAAATGATAGTTTTATTATCTGTGCAACTGGATCAGAGCAGGGCTAGAAGTGATGTGGGCCAACCACTGAGTGGTAAACTGCTAAAAATCCTAGATCACACATCCAGAAAAGTTGTTTTGAAAGGATCACACTTTTTTTCTAGCAGGGAGAAGTTGTTAGCTCAAGAACTTTTCCCCTCCTTCTCTTCCTCTCTGTATTTTCCTTTCTTTTTTTTTTTTTGCTGCTATGTGCAGCTCTTATGAACTTGGAGCTGAACTGGAATTGCTTGAATTGTTACATGTCTTACTTAATTGTGCAAATTGCTTTCTATTCCAAGGACTAGTTAATGTAGAAATGAAAAGGATTAGGACTGCTGGGATAAGTGATCATTCCATCTTTTAGTATTTGGGTTTAGTATAACAATAGCCTCTATGTCAAAAGCAGATCCTGACTCTGCCCTGTCACCCTTTCATGCAGGCAAAGTACTCACATAGGGCCTGAGTTTTCCCTGCCCTCTTTCTTATGGTAGATCCAAAGTACATTAACCAGCAGGAAACATCCATAAATCAGCTGAATGGGTTCTGGGCTGAGGCTCCTTGCCCAAGCAAAAATAAATGGCTTTAGCGGGAAGATGCCATCAGGAAGCGATATCCTTTCACAGGATTGGGTCTCCTTTGTGAGTCCCACATTACAAAGAAAAACCAAACAGAAAAAAAAAATTAAGATAAATGGCCAGGTCTGTATAAAGACAGTGAAAACAGCATAGATTGTCTTAGTAAAGTATGCAGTAAAATGGACATTATTCTAGCCTTTTACCTGCCTCCCAAATGAATATGAACTGTTGAATCAGTGCATGGGCTCACCTGATACTTGAATTATTGAACTGTAGTTTGCATGGTTTTATAGGGTTTGTCTACTCACTGGAGTTTAGTTTTTCTACAAAGTAACAAAAAAATGTTTTGTTTCTTAAACCCATCCAGTTACTACCATGTGTAAGTAGATGTGTTTCAGGTCATTGCAAAGATGGAGGGCTTGCCAAGCAAACCATTTTTCTTCCTGATTTCTGTTACTATGTTAACACACACACATGAAAAAAAAAAAAAAAGGAAAATAAGGTGTAGAAATACCACACCCTTTTCTGGGGTTTTCCCTTCTGCCTGATGGAAGGGCAGCATGTTGCACCATTCAGTGAGACCCCTGCTGTCCTGCTTTCAGACAGGATATTTGTAGAGCGCACAACGAATATGATACTCTAGGTAAGAAAAACCTTTTGTCTTTTAATAACTTTTTTTTTTGTTAGAAAGGCAACCTGTTAGTTGCCTGTGCTGAACTGTGGCCATTGTAGTGGAGCAGGATATCATCAGAATCAGGCACACAGAGTTCCTGGCACTGCCTGTATGCAGCTCGCATTAATGTGGTCAGGGTTTTACAGATGGCTTGAGAGCAGTGCACAGCATTAGCATTTAATTTTTTACAGGTGAGTGCACACTATCTACATGCAAGAAAGATGGGTGAAGATAACAGTTCACTACTACCAAAGTCCAGGAGTAGCTTTCCATGCAGTGCATTCCCATCACTGGTGCCTGGTTTTCCAGTAACCCAAACACCCAATACATGACCTGTCCAAATAGCACACTGCAAGTGTTGGAGTGACTTTGTGAGTGGAAATAATTCAGTTGTTTTGGAAGTGGTGATGTGTCTGATTTAATTTGTGTGCTGGATGGGGAAAGAACACTGATACTGTACCAACACCTGGCAGCATTAGGTTAATGATTAGACTTGATGATCTTAAGTATCTTTTCCAACCTAAATGATCCTGTGATTCTGTGACTCTGTGCCAGATCTCTGCACAAATAGGAAAGTCATTTTCCTCTGTGCTGGGCATACCTGGCTATGTTTGGCTCTGATTCCCCTGCATGATCAAGTGCAGGTCAGGGCTCTCAGAACAAGGTGTGGAATTTCATGTGGTACTCTCTGGGTTTTGGGTGGGTTTGAGGGGTTTTTTTAGCATGTGACACCAGCTGCAGGATTTCAGTGCAAGCCCAGTATATATCAATTTATTTCATACATCTTCTGTGTAATAGATGTCTTTGCAATTCCTTCTTTTGCCATCTAAGTTCCCCCTGCCTGGATGTTTGGAGGAATCATGAGCCTCATGGTCCCATGTGGGGCCCTGCAGAGCTCTGCCTTTGCTCTGCAGCCTTGTCTTCAGCCTCACTCAAGCCCTGTTGAGTATCTCCCCATCCTTAACATGTTTTTTTTTTGGGCACCTGCTCCTTTTGGAGGTTAGTTATTTAAAAGGGAAATTTGAGTGGCAGGCTGAGGGTGCAGAGAGGAGAGGAGCTGGCTGTAGGGCTGGGGTTAGCACTTTCTCCTCAGTCTGGTCTTCTCACCTTCAAGTTATTTGTATGCATAGTTGGCTCCCCAAGCTGATTGGCACTGAATGAGTCAGGATAATGTCATGGTTGCCCACGAAGCGGTGCCAGCATGAGAGCACAACCTTGCCAACACAAGGGCATTGATTAGAGCAGAGGAACTAGGGCAATCCAATTATAACCACAAATGCCATTGGCTTTCTTGAATTCTTACTCAAATAACTGCAGACTCTCTGCTGTATTAAGGTGGTCTGGACTATATCAAGAAAGGGGAATGTAGAAGACTTAGGTAGTACAGAGTAGATAGGATTTAATTCTTAACAACTGCATTGTCTATTTGCACATAGGGCCAAAGGGTTTTCAGATAGGTAGAAGCTGGCTGATCCCCTTTGCCTGCTGTGATACTGCAGAATTTATTTATTTTTTTGGAAATTATTACAAATATTCCTAAAAGGAAACTACACAGGAAAAATAGCTAAGAAGTTTCCTATCACTTCAATCTTGTTTGAGCATTGAGTATTCCTTTGTTCCCTAATATTATGCTTCCTCTAACCTACTCAATAGGTCAGATAAGGAAATGTGATATTTTTCACCACCATGACGAAATTAAACTAAAGATACAAAGAGCATGAGGGTTGTAGCCTGGAGTCGTAGATGAGTAGTTCAGATCTGGCTTTATATTAAATGCAGAAGTGAACAGTCTTTCGTGGATGAATCACATTCAATTAGCTACTTCCTATGATGAACTGATTAAAAATTAAGTGGCATCAAATAAGCCTGATTTTGCTCTTACATTTAAATAATGCTATAATTACATACTAATCAGATGGTAAATCTTAATTGTACACGTTCCATATGTTATATATGCCTGTTCTCCCTCTTCACTTTGTCGTCTTTGTATCAGCATGGAGTATATTTTCAGGCTGCTTTTATGTTTGGCCTAATTGAATATCAAAAGCAGTATATGTGAAACTTCCTGAATTCTATTCTTCCGCCAGTGGCAGCTGTGCTATTAGATGACCTTTACCATTCCTGTAGCACAGAATAATAAAGGGAGGGGGGGAACTGAAGCCCAGCCGTGTTATTGTTAGAGACAGAAATAAATCATATATAATTGCTTTGCTGTGAAGGCCAAATCCTGCCGTCCTTCATGCCTGAGTTAGAAATACAGGATTTGGACCTTTGTTTCCTGTGGTTTCCTGGCCACCTTGGACGTGCCCAGAATCCTCACGCTCCTGCTGCAGTGGCTAATTACCATTGCAGGGCTCCATCCCTCCTGTATGGGCCAGGAGCTGGCTCTGCTGCAGGGAATGTCCACCTCTAAGTGCTACTGGCCTCCCCAAGATGGCTTTTAAAATGCAGCCTTTTGGTGGGCTACTTGGTGGGCTTCCACAGAGTGCTTCTGTTTCAGTTCCCTGCTTGTTTGGAGCAAGCCCACACAACTTTGTTGAGGTAATAGGTATTTTGACGTAACATACATGTGGTATTAATTTTTTTTCACTCCAGAATGTACTGTATGTTTTTTTCTGCCTTTTAACCATAGATCATGACCACAGTCACAAAAAGAACAAGTGGAAACACTGGAGAAGGCAGTGGGCAGAGAGCAGTATATTGTCTGACGTGGAGATGTTGAAACACAGCCTGGAAGTAAATTCTTTTTCTGGGGACAGCAACAAGACGGGGACCATTGTTGAAAAGAAGAGCCACAAGCGAACCAAGCGTTTCTTGTCCTACCCACGTTTTGTGGAGGTGATGGTGGTGGCTGACAGCAGGATGGTCGCCTACCATGGAGCCAACCTACAGCACTATGTCTTAACCCTGATGTCAATTGTGAGTGTTCAACCAGAGCAAGTAGATTCACCCACAAATCGTTTTCTAGTGGTCACAGAGCCCCTCTCTGCTGCAGTCATATGCAACACCAGCAGTTTGCCTTCCCTAGGCATGGAGATAATGCTGGGGTTACATGAAAAATGGTAAAATGTGGCTGGAAAACACTGGCTGGAGTCTTTTTCCCACATCCATCACACTTCCTGATCTTTTTCACACCTCTCTCTTCCAGCTTTCTGAACATCAGATACCATGAGCAATATCACTGGTTGTTTAGACCACACACTGTACTCTTTTATTTAAGCCCACATGAAATAACAGCTGAATTTGAAAGGTACTTTGGTCCCTGTGCCTTCCAGGGAACTGATGCTGGTAGGTTATGCAGTTGCCTGACTTCCCTTGCTGTCACAAGAAGGAGCCTGTGGTCACCTTGATCCTTAGCATCATTCTCAAGCTGGCTTTCCAGGCTGAGAGCAAGCACCTGAATAGCTGCAGGTACTAGGATGCAGTAGTGCAGTTTCCACACAGGCAGTTCTGGCAATGCAGAGTGACTGGCAGGGAGTATCCAACATATTTGTGTCACTGGAGGGATGTTCATCTTGTCTGAGGGTGGAAGTGCAGTGAATATGTGGTCTGAAACTGCCTATGTCAAAATCAGGCACTTAGAAGAATAGGTAGCTTTTGACAGTCTTGGTTGGTGGTCTTTGTGTCTCAGAGCAGAATGATCCTTTAATTTGGTGAAATGTGTGCTAAAACAAAAGGAAATTTTGTGTTTCTGTGATACCAGCAGGTTTTTTTCATTCTAAAATTGTGCTTCTGCCTGCAGGTCTCTCTATGTAGCATCAGTGTACTGAACAAGGCAGAAGAGCAGTCCAAGAGAAAAACAGTTGCAAAATGGAAAATATATGTGTTGTCTTAATTAATTGTTTCCTTGAAAGTTAACAATAATTCCAAATATTGCTTTTTTAAACAGGTGGCTTCCATCTACAAAGACCCAAGCATTGGAAATTTAATTAATATTGTTATTGTGAAATTGGTCGTGATACATAATGAGCAGGTAATGGAAATTATTTTCTTTGCCTTGTGCTTGACAATGGCATTTGTAGTGAGCATTGCCATGAATAATTAAAATACCTGTTTTCTGTTTGTTGCTTATCAGGATGGCCCTGCAATATCTTACAATGCCCAGACAACATTAAAAAACTTCTGCCAATGGCAGCAGTCCCAAAACCACCCAGAGGGAAGTCACCTTCGGCATGATACAGCTGTGCTTGTTACCAGGTATGGTGAATATTCTCATGAAAACTGTAGCCAGTTGTGTGTCAGGGACTGTAATATATGGGAAATGTTCAGGTTTTGATGTGGATGTAATGGTACTTGCAGTTGTGGGAGCATGTGTCCACCATAACAGGAGATGATTTTGAGAGGTTCAAGACTGTCTAAAGTCTACCCATGGGTTTAGCATAAGATGGAAAACTTTGACTGTGGTGGGGAGTTAGTTTGGACTCTGGATGATGTGGCAAAGCAGCATGAGAAGGTCCACTGGAGGACCAAGAGTTGTTTCTGCTGTTGTTACTGTGATTGTACCTTAACTCACTGCTGCATTGAGAATTAATGTGTCAGGTCTGTTCTGCTTTCAGACAGGATATTTGTAGAGCGCACGACAAATGTGATACTCTGGGTAAGGAAAACTTTGTCTTTTAATAACTTTTTTTGTAGTGACAGTGTTAGTTGCCTGTGCTGAACTGTGAGTGACTTTTCCTATCATAAACTTATTTGTTCTCTCCTAGGTCTGGCAGAACTGGGCACAGTCTGTGACCCATACAGGAGCTGTTCAATAAGTGAAGATAACGGACTGAGCACTGCTTTCACAATAGCACATGAACTTGGCCATGTGTATGTTTTATGTAAATACATTTACATTTAATTAGCCCAATATTTATGCTAATTAGGGCTTGCCAGCCAGGCTGGGAACTGGTACTGCTGAGCCTAATTATTTGAGGGGAGATCAATATACTTGGCCAGAAGATGCACCACTGAGGTAGATGAAACTGTGGAGTGCTCTGGAGCCTACCTGAGAGCAGCAAAACTAGCAGGGCTATGTTTTGGGGAGGATGAATGACAGAGTACCACAAGCAGCACCTAAGCAATGACATCTTGACAGCCATTGGAACTATACAGGATTTTGGGCAGAAGGGAGGTGCTGGGTGCCTTGGGGAGGACCAGGGCAAGGGATGCTGGCACATCTCAACTATCTTTTGGGACTGAAGTCTTCTCTGAGAGTAGGTCCTTAGCCTGCCACAGCTTGTCCCACAGCTCTGTGCGGTGCTGGTGAAGGAAGTGCAGCAGCTGTGTGTGAAGGAGGAACGTACCCAGGGCATCTAGGAAGTGATGAGGTGTGTAAGTGAGCTTGACTCAGTTCTTGAACTGGAAAATCTTGTGCTGCTGGACATCCCCAGAAGAGATGCTGCCATTCACCTCCTTCAGCGGAAATTTCTTTCAAATGATTTTTGCTTTTTTTCTCACTACTGAGACTTTTTCTCACTACTGAGACTTTTTCTCACTACTAAGCAGTCATGAGAAAAATCATCTTAGATCACATAGTCCTTTACCCCTGGCTACAACCTTAGGCAGCTGATAAAGTCCCAAACCACCACACGCCTGCTTTGCAGTGGAGGTCTGTAGGTGTGGAATGGATGAGTACTTGGGAACAAATCTCTCATTGTTCTAAACTCTGTTTTTCTTCATGGAGAGCTGGCTGAGACAGCCTATTTTTAACCACAGTAGTATTTGTTTAAATGAGACTTCCTGACAGAAAGTCCCCAAAGTTTTGGTGCTCCCCACACCTAACCTGTGGCTAATTCCTTCACTAATGCTGCCCCAGAGCTGCAGGGGGGGTTAGCAGTGCAACTGAGCAGGAAACACCTCTGTGCTCTTTTTTTTCAGAGAGCAGAGTGAAAAGATGGTTTGTTGGAGGTAATCTTAATGGAATAGAAACTCCCCAGCCTTGGAACACAGGATCACACCAGGTCACTTCCCCTTCCCCACTTCAAACAGTGCAGCGCTTTAAGCCGCTCTGTCTCCATTAGCGAATTTACCACATTCTTCAAGGTGTCATGTGCTGCAAACTTCACATTGGTTTCTGCTGATAGCAATGCTTGCTGGCAATGGCATTTGGTAAACTTTCCTCATAAAGTATGGGAGCCAAGTCTATCCCTGGTGCAGCCCCACTTAGGCAGCAGTGTGGCCCAGGATTTTCAACTGCATTAGAAAACATTTTGTATCCAACATGGTGTTGCCTGTGTGCATGAGGGTCTGCAGTCAGTGGGCTCAAGTCAATCATCTCCTTCACAATTCCCTCAGATCAATTCCTGGATGTGTGGTCAGTTCCAGATTATTTGTCATTTTTATGAAGGAGGGGCCAGACTCCAGCCTGTCTGCAGGATAGCAACCATCAGCTGAAAAGGAAAGTGCATCTTACACCAGGCTCCCTGGAGGACTTCTCTGACTAAATATATGCAGTCATGGACTGGAGAGCTTAGCAGGGTGCTGCACAGATTTTTCCAGATGAGTTGCTAGGAACCCTGTTCATTAACACTTCTGAATTTATTATGAATATGTGTATATCAATACTTCTATTCTGTAATATCTGTCAGTAGCTTGTTTAGGAAAAAATCTTGGGTTTGCTTGCATTTAGTTCACACTGTTGCCCTTGCTATGCTAAAAACTTGATGTTTGCTTCTTAACTGATTCTACTTTTCTCTGCTCTTTTCCTCTTAGATTTAACATGCCACATGATGACAATCACAAGTGCAAGGAAGATGGAGGTAAAAATCAACAGCACGTCATGGCACCAACACTGAACTTCTACACCAATCCCTGGATGTGGTCAAAATGCAGTAGGAAATACATCACTGAATTTCTGGAGTAAGGCCTTGCATATGCATGTGTTGGGCTGTTTTCACATGTCCATGTGTCCATGGAGTTCTTCAGTTAAATTGGAGTCCTAGTGTGCAGCGTTTGGAGGAAATCAGAGGGATTTGTGTGTGCACGCATCCTTTACATAGAGCAGGAATGCACCCCTGGCATCCAGTCCCTGCCAGTTCAGCCTCATGATAAGCTGGCAAGGACCAGCCTCTCAATGGGGAAGAATAAGTCTTCCCCCATGGATATTGCTTTTAAGGAATGTGTGTTCTCCTCAAACCTGAAGAATGACTTTTCCAAGCCTTGTGGCCCAGATACGGAGCTGTGTTTTAGAAGGCAGATTGAATCTGCCTTTCTGCTCCACAGGTCAAGATAAAGCCCTGGCACTAATCCGTGGTGGGAACACCGTTCCAGGAGCCCACGGGTCAGTTTGATGCATAGTGATTCGCCCATTTTGCTGTGATGCCTTCCTGTGTGTTGTGGTGTGGAACAGAATGAGAGCCTTGATGGTGTTCTGGGAAATCCAGGAGCTCAGTCCCGTGGGCAATTCTGCTAATCAGTGATTTTCCTTTTGGAATTCTTTATAAAAATGTACCAGTGCTTGCTCAGCAACTAAATGCACATTCAGAAATGCTTTTGCTGTGGTAGCTGACTGCTGTGGTGGATAGATGCTGTCACAGCACAGGGGTGGTGGTGTATTGGTAACAAACCCTCCTGTGCTTGAGTTTGAAATAGCTCTTGTAGTGCTTGTTAAATATGGCAAATGTGGTGTGCAACTGCCCTAAGGGTAATTCAGGTAAACACAAGTGGGTTCTGATCTCACTGCCTCCTGTTTAACACCATTACTCTGATTTGTGTTGTAGCACTGGTTATGGGGAGTGTTTGCTTGATGAACCTTCATCAAGAACTTACACATTGCCTCAGCAGCTCCCAGGGCTGATTTATGACGTCAACAAACAATGTGAGTTAATTTTTGGACCTGGATCCCAAGTGTGCCCCTATATGGTAAGTGAAATTTCACACCTTATTTTTCCTGGTTTTGCCAGAGCAAAATAAGGTCCCCTGGGGTTGTATGAATGGCAGACTCACAATCCATCAACTTACTGTCAAGCTTGTGAGTTAATGATAAATCCTAGGGGGATAATTTCATAAAGAATCATCTGTCTGGTAAGGCATGAGGCACATATTTAACGTTCTGATCTCTGCAATCACTTAAGCAGATGCAGTGTCGGCGACTTTGGTGTATCAACGTCGATGGTGCTCACAAGGGATGTCGAACCCAACACACACCTTGGGCTGATGGGACAGAATGTGAGCCTGGAAAGGTCTGTAATACCTGGTGGTTTGTGCCTCGTGGCTCTGTTTTCTTGGGCTCAGGTTGAGCATATCAGTCAAAGCATCCTGCTCTAATGCCAGTTGTGTGGGGCATGGCTCTGACTGCAGTCAGAAGTCCAAAGCAGCTCAGTTTCGTTTTAGTCCTGGTGGTGCCTGGGACATCTCCAGCCCAGATAACATGATTAAAGTCAACTGCTTGGCATAACATTGTTTAAAGCAGATACTCCTTCTGGAGTGCTTATCTTTTTAAATTAATGCCCTTGAGTGAACTTTTGAGCAAAAGTTTTGCAAAGCTTCCCTAAGCTTTTGTTAGAAATTGCCAATGTGATGTGAGCAATTAGTAATTCTGTGTAACATAAACTTGTCAGCTGGCTTTTCATCTTGACAACTTCAGAGTAAAATATAGAATTGGTTGACATTTTCTGTATGGAACATTTTTGGCAGTAATTCATAGAAACTTTCCATTTCCATGTGCAATGTTAATTTCCAGCTAGCATTGTGGTTTCTAGGATAAGTGTTTAATTTTTAGTTGTTCATATCTGTAGAAAAATAGTTGAGAGGATTTTTCTTTTATTAAGATACTGGAGCTTTTGAATAAAAATGTGAACTGGTTCTTACCATTTGTGTCTGAAAAAAGTATTCTCCATCTGTGTCTAATAAAAATAGTGTGATATTATTCTACATGGTATAGCTTAAAAGTTTGCTTTTCTGGCTCTTAAGATAAATATTAATAATAATAATGTTTTCTTTAGAAAGAGTCAAAGTTTTAAATCACAGTCTCTCAAACGTACTTTAATACAAATTCTGGATGCTATTTTAAATATGATTTTCCATACAGGCTGTATAACTCTTTAGAAATTTATTTTTTGATGCATGTGTCTGAAAACTCGATTGTTCCATGACACTTGACTGTTTTCCTTCAGGACAATGAGCATCATGTATCAATTTGCCTTCCTTTCTTAGGGAAAAGTGCAATTGCAGATTTGTTTTTATGGTTGAGAATGTGCAGTAGAGATGTAATTGGAATGTCTAACATTTTTGTGTAAAATCCCCATTTTGAGTGTAGATGTTCGTGGAGTCCCTATGACTTGAGACCTTGTGCCCTCAACTTCTCTGTTGGTGAGCTTGGGATCTGCTCACTGCTGAAAGATCAGAAATAACTTTGAAATTTTCTTGAAATTCCAAAAATCTGGGCTGCAGCAAACCTGCACTTACCCTTGGATATGATCAGAGTGATGTGCAAACAGCAGCAGCTGGGCAGATCAGCCCCCCCTCAGAGCTGCCCCATGCCATGCAGTGTCCAGCTGCATGGCTCTTAATGAAAAACATTTCAGGCCACAAATTTAGACAATCTGACAAGTTTAGGCAAACTAGATAAGTGTGATGTGAACCTCTCAGCTGAGAGCAGATGGGCTCTTAAAAAAAGCTAATGCAGCCCACTCGTGTTCGGGCATTTAAATGTGTTCTCACAAAAGGGCTTCATGGAGTAATTCTTCTGTCTGTATGTTCATCTAATTCAAAGTTTGGGTCATCAACTCTGTCCTGCTTGGTATTTACTTGGGTCTATAAAGTGCTGAGATGCAAGTCTGAAATGCTTTTCCTTGGAATAAATTGCTATTTTGGTACTGTGCTGTGGCCAGGAGCCCTGTCAAACTGCTACTTGCTGACTAATGCCTCAAGTCTGCATGTTTAAAGCCTGTGCTGTATGGGTTGGCAGATGGAGAAAATACCATACCATTTTTTATGGAGATATCTTTGGAAATAAGAGCCTGAATAGCTAAAAAAAGAGATCTAGCTAAAACTACTGGGATGTAGATTTAACTGGGCTCTAAATTTACTCTTAAACCAAGGACATTAAAAAACATGGGAGTATTAACTTTCTGCATGTTTTACATGTGAGGACACCGAATCTGATTCTGTTAAATCAAGCCATAAGCCCAGCCCAGAGTCTGGCTTTGCTGGGTGATGGTTTTACCACGTTCCACAGAACCAGCTCGTTGTTGGGTGGAGATAAATCTCTGGAAGAAGATAAAGGGGGTTGTAAATTTGGGCCACTCTCCATTGTGGTTTTCAGGGTTGTTTAAAGAATGGTAGCAGAAGAGCAGATGAGCAGTAGTGATTTGTGTCTGCTGCCCTGTGGCAGCACGTAGTGTATCTGTTACACATGCATGGAGCTGCACAGCCCCTTCTGCCCCCTGCTGCTCCATTTACTCAGCCCAAGGGTGGGAGCTGGATTTGGGGAATTATCTGGAACTCCAGTGGCAAGACGGAAGGGAAAGTCTGCTGTAATGTCTTCCATCCCTGCCAGTGCTCCACTGTGTGTCTAAGATATTTTGAATTTGCTCCAGACAATCTGCCTTTTATTCTCTTCATTTTGTGAGCTGTAAACTTATAGGAAAGAGGACCCTGGCAGGCTTTTTAGTCTTTCTGCTATATCTCAACATAGAAATTATTTTTAAAATACAAAAGGCACAAAGGTTGCACAGCCAGACTGTTCACAGTGTGGTTCCAAGAAGCACCATTGCATTTTCATAAGATAATCTTGCCATTTATTTAAAACAGCTGCTCTTTTCCCCTGCTTCACTTTACCATCAACTCCAAATCCCAAATTTTTAATAAAATCAATGGATGTAGATGACTTCCTGGTTAATACTCAACCATGGGATGGGAGACATATAGGTCATGTCACGGTCTGTTAGCTGTTTTCATTCACTAGTTAGCTATTCAGTCATCTTCCCTGGGTCAGTGGTGCCAGGCATGACTCTGGTTAGATATTTAGCTGTGAGCATCAACATTGCTGCAAGTAGTTCTCCACTGGGACAGCACTGTTAGATTGGTGTCATGTATTTCTGTTGTTTAATGATAGCTGTCTGACCTCTTTGGACCTGTATAGGGACCCCAACCTTCAGGTTTTCAACCTCTAAATGCCAGGAGTTGTGCATTTTAAGGGTTTGTCCTGCAGCAAAGAAACAGGAATTTCAGCTGATTTTATTGCTGTCCTTTACTGTAGCAGATGGGTTTGATTTTATTGCTGTCCTTTACTGTAGCAGATGGGTTTCAGTCAGTTTTATCTGGGGAATCAGATCTTCAGATGAAAGCAAATCTAGGGCATTTTGCAGCCTAGAGACCATGCTTGTCTCTGAGCAAACAGCACATGCAAGACTCAAATTATGAGTTCTTCAGCTGTCCTGCAAACCATGTCCATGGGCAAATGCAACTGAGATCAGCTTTCTTCATCTGCAAACCATATCCATGGGCAAATGCAACTGAGATCAGCTTTCTTCATCTGCAAAGCTATATAACCTGTGAGCCTTCTTTGACAAAAGGTGTCCCATGTGCTGCAGAGCTGGTGTCCTGTGGGATGCACAGCCCTCAGAACATCTTGATTCTGCTCTGTTTTCCAAGATAGCTTTGTCCAAATTGGTTTTAAGGGTGTCTAAACAAGCGGGATGAGCTTGTGGTGTGTTTTGACACAAGCTTGTTGTGCTATTAGTGGAAAGGCTGGAAAAACACAGTGCATCAGCAAATTTGACCCTGTTCCCATAAAGATTATCAGATCTGAACAGCACCTGGTACACAGAAATACTGCAAGGGAATATTTTCCCTAGATCTCACTTCTGTACAGGTCTCAGTAGTACATCTAGTAAACATACCCCAAAGGACATAATTTATACCATGAAAATGGGGATGGGGGCTTGCCACGGTAATTTAATCCAGCTTTCTAAGCAAAAGAAAATAAGAGTCATAGCTGGAAAACAGAGGGATAGACAAGATCTTGGCAAGTCCCATGTTATGTCTGAGTGTAACAAAAAAAACAAAACAAAAAAATGCTTGAGGTTGAGGAATTAATTTTTCTATTTGCTTTTTGGATTTGGAAGTATTCTGCTTTGGGTAGTAGTGGGGAGTTTTGTGTTTTCCCTGGTGTTTCTCCTCATTGCCTGTCTCCTCCCCTGACATGGCACAGTTTCTGCAGCTCTCCAGGAAATCAGATAGAGCAGCTTTTTGAAAAGCCAGTGGCCTGAGCTTGCTGTGCTGCTTAGCACCAGTAAACAGGGAATATTCAGTGGTTGCTGTTGTCATCGCTCTTCATCCCATAAATCATTCCACAGACTCAGCACCTTCCCTTCACGTTGCCATTTAAGGGTATGAAGAAAGAAAAAAATATGGGGATGACAGACAAAATATAAAGTAGTTCAGTTTTATTTGATTGCAAAATCATTGTGTGTGGCTGAGAAATAAGTGAGGCTGGGTCTTGTTGCCCAGGCTGGTCACTCCTAATGCAAAGCAGCACAGTCCCACCTTTGCCATGTCTCTCCTTCACATGCAGCACTGCAGGTTTGGGATGTGTGTGCCCAAGGAGCGAGAGGCACCGGTGACAGACGGAGCCTGGGGCACCTGGAGCCCCTTCGGGACCTGCTCGAGGACCTGCGGCGGCGGCATAAAGACGGCGATTCGAGAGTGCAACAGGCCCGAGTGAGTGCACAGAGGGGAATGCAACAGGGTGAGATGGGCAAAAGCAGTTTGGGTTGCCCAGGTGGGCTGAGATCACCTTCGGCTGTCCCCAGTCCTTGCGGGTGCCAAGGACAGGTGGCTCTGCCCTGGGGATGGATGGATTTGCCCGGCATGGGTGAGGCAGGATCCTGTCTTTGGTGTGTGGGTGAAGTGATCTAAAAAGGGATCCATTCAACAATGAGGGATAAAAAGCTTCTGTTTTCCTGTGGGGGCACTGCTGGGGTCCCACTTCCAGAGGTGTTTCTCTTTCTCCAAAGCTGTGATTCAGAAAAGAGGGAGAAAGGAAGGAACCTTCCTTTTTCACCATTTTACCCCTCCTTAGGTTGCTTTTGCAGCTGTTCCTACAGGCCTTTATTATAAAGTTTTCTACCAGTTTTTTTTTCCTTCTTTGTCTGGTTTCCCAGCTTTTGGCTGCTTTTGCAGCTGATCCTTTATACAGTTACATTTCAGCTGGTGCAGACTAGCCAAACCTCAGCAGAAATCTGTGCCCCATTAAAAAGTGGCACTCAGAAATGTTTGCTATCAGCCTGGAATGCAAAACCCTGCACCCTTTGAAATGGCGGGGAATTTTGCTGTGGGCTTCAAGGAGACAAATATGTAGCTGGTGCAACAGTAATAGCTTGAGCAACTGGTATGAAACAGCCTGTTTACGTAAATTGTGAATTGTGTTGGTTTCTGTTTAACAGTCTTCTTGCAGAAGAAGGGGTGGGCAGGAGGCTTTCTGGGCTTTTATTTGGGACTGGGATACAGAGAGGAGAGGAGTCTGTAGGGCTGGTTGCACTGAGTGGTCTTAAAAAGATTCCTGTTTCTCATCACTGGTGTTAGATGGTTTGTTGCCAAGGAAATTGCCACTAGGGATGTGCCAGGGATAGTTTGATTACTGCTAATGGGAGAAGGGAGAGTTTATGCCTATGACACTGGTGGTGTAGTAGCAGGAGAGGCTGCTCAGCACAGCTGGGCGAGTGTCAAAAGTTGAGGCTGAGAGAGTGGGACACCAGCACGTTAATTAAAACAATGCTAAGAAAAACACAAGTGCAAAGAGCTCTCGTCTGGCTGTGCTGAGTCAGCACACTCCATATGGTCTTTGGTAGCCATGGAAAGACAAAAACAAAGCATCTTTCCAGCTCTGCTGCTGAAACTTTGGATGCTGTCAGTGAGATGTATTCCTGTCTTCTGAGAGGCATCTATTCAGACTGATAGCTTTTGTGATAGAAAATCTCCTTTATCCTAAAGGGTAGCCAAGGGATTTGAAATTCTGTCTTCCCTAATAGCTTGTGGTTTGTATCCTGGTGCTTCAGTAGGTGTATTGTCGTGGCTGGGATTTGCAAAAGCATCTAAACACACTGGGCACCAAGCTGCCCAATAAATCCTTATGATTGATAGTGGTTATTTTCCAGGCCCCCTTTCCTGAGCCTTGTGCTGGCACTGGCCTCTCTTCTCCAGCCCCTCACAAGGTCTCTGTGAGGAGTAGTCTGTCCTGGCACCATCCACAGAGCTTTCCACTGCTTGTTGGTTTGTGCCTGTAATTTGACACCATAATGTGAGCTCCCACCACCTGTGTCCCCATTATCATGGAGCTGCTGAAACTATACAAATGGATGAGACTCCACTGGATACTCTCTTGCCTTTTCCCTTTCTCAGAGTACTTCAAAAAGAGACAGTTCCTCATCTGTTGTAGAAGGCAGCAAACCCAACCCAGATACTATGAGTCAGGTCTGAAATAATTCTCAGTAAATCTTTTATCTTCCAAGATGGTTTAGCTCTTTCAAGTTTTTTTTTCTGTGTGTGAGGATCTGGGGTGGGATCTTGCATCCAGTAAAAAATCGTGTTAAATCTGGCACTGAAAATTACCATTCCCTCCATGGTACAGAAAGTAAGGCTGCAGCTCCTGCCTCGCACTGGAGAGTGCTCTGACACCTAAATGGATGAGTATCCTGCAGAGATGCAGGGAGAGATGTAAGCCTCTGGAATGGCAACAGACTGTTTTGACATACCCTGAAGGAATGTGTTTGCTAACCAGACCAGACCCTTCTTACTGAGATTGCCCACATGGGAATTTGAGCCTGGCTGGTGGACAAAGCCCATGGCTGTGGTACATCATCAGAGGGTCTGTGGTTTTCAAAGCCCTGGTTTTCAAAGAAAGACATGTTGCAGAATTATGGGAAAGGGCATATTTGATAAGATGTCAATACCCTATTTTCAGGAATGGCTTTTTGGATGGGGGAGTGCTATCTCTGGATGTGAGTCAGATCACATTTGCATTTTAGTCCATCACAGAAGTATCCACCTGCACTGAAAACTGTCTGAGCCTGACATGTAAACACACGTATAGATAACTGTGCTAGCCACCAACCAATTTCCAGTCCTAGGGCTTCCTGGAATGCAGGGAAGGATATCTCAAACTGATCTGTGCACACTGGAGCTTCACAGATTTTTCTGCAGTCACACATGAGCCCAGGTACGTGGGCAAATGTGCAGATGAACACATGTGCTCTGCAGTTAATTCTCCTGGGGCTTTTCCTTGTGACATCCTCAGTGCTCCCAGGCAGAGCTGCTGCCCGTGGGGCAGGTGCAAAGCACCCCCAAAACAGCACTTCTTGGCAGGGTGTCTGCACCTTGTGCTCCTGGACTGCTGGGAGCTGGGTGCTGCCTCAAAATCTGCAAGTGAAGATGCTCAAGGTGATGAGCATCAGGTATTTCAGGCCTGTTGGGGTGGGAATCATTCTCTGGGCCTGAGAGTTTCTGGGCTGCTGGGAGGAGTGCAGTGGGTCTGGGGTATGTGCAGGAGCTTGTCAGGGGAATGAGACTGGACTCAAAGTGCCATGCTGGCTGTTAATTGGCTGAATAGATGATTCAGAGAGAAGCAAAATGGAAGCAAAACAAGGAGGTTTCTATGCATGTACTTCCATTCTGTCTCTGTGGTACATTGTTGATGATCCATAAAAATATTACACAGAATGAAGTATGCTGTATTTCTCCATGACACTGAAAATCGATGTTATATGAGGGTGACTTATTTTTCAGGGTCAGCTCTTTCTGTCCCTCAGATTCTGTGAGAAGCAATGCTGGTTTGAAACACTCTGTAACTGTCAGGGGAGTTTGGAGCTGTTTTTAAATGTCAGCTGTTCCTTTATACAAGTGTGAGTGTGCTTAGGCCCCCAGCACAGTCTGCAAGGAGATTTACTGCCAGGGTTACAAAGCTGATAGTTTGCAACATGGTGGCAAGCTTTAGTAACATCCTTCAGTTTGTGGTGTGTCCATGTGTCAATGTTATCTCAATCTCAGGGGTCTTGTCTAGAGAAGAGAAAACTAAATAGTAGCTTGGGATTTTTGGATTTTATTAAAAAAAAAAAAAAAAGGCTCCTGTATGTTATTTAACTAAATAGTTAAGAGTTTCATTTTAGTTAAATTCATTTATATTGGAAGCAATGTGGTTGCCATAAAAATGTCTTAATTGCAATTTTTTTAAAAAAGAAATGACCCCTTAAAGGTTTGTATCATTCAGAGGCTTTGTCAAACTGCAACAGTCCTGCAGAGGTACAGATGCTTTTCAAGTGAAAATGACAAATCCTGTTAATTCCCCCATGAATGACTGACTCACCCAGGTCTGGAGTGTGCTGCTGCCATGATTAAGAAGTTTCCCTGTGTTCTGTGTAACAAGATGGTTGAGATGTCCCTTTGTAGCTAGAGGTAGCTCTTGTGCCTGCATGGGAATAGTCCATGGGATGGGCTCTGGTGCCCAGCAATTGCCATCGTGCCTGCAAGGCAAGGAGGGGTTTGGGCTGTGTCTGAAGGGGCTGCTGTGCTGGGATAGCCCTGGAGCTGTCCCAGGTGTAATCAAGTAACTTCAAAGAAGTTGTTTGTCACAACAAGTGGGCAACAGACAATATCAGTAAAAAACAGGTTTAGACTTACTCCTTCACTAGGAGCAGTAAAGGTGTAAAATCAGTCTGTAATCAGGAATCTGCAGTGGACACTGTGCAGTTGCTTGGGCTTTTTATCACTGGTACTTGCTTAATTGCAAACACCAGAAACCTTTGTAAGTGACAAACATTTCACTTCCAGATGGCATGTGAGAACTCGTACCTCAGAGCAGGTAGAGCCAGTGTTTGTAGCTATTGCTCAGGACTGTGCCAGAGGACAAATCATACCCTGTGGTATTTAGGATGGGACTAGAAGGGTCTGCACCAGAGCAGTGAGGGTCTCAGTGACTGGAGGAAAAATCCCATCTGTATAACTGGTGGTGTTCAGCATCTCATCTGCAGCTGCTCAAGGAGCTGACTCCTTCTGCCAGACCTGGGAGCATCCCTAGTGTGGTGCTGATGGGGTGGTGGGAAGTATGCCTGCCTTTCCCAGTTTTGCAGGCAATCATTTGGCAAGAGCAAGCTGTTCTGTGCTTCTGTCTCTCATTTGTTTCACAGGAACTCTGCTACTTTGAGTCACAAGGAATTTTCGAGTGTAAGAGTGAAGAGTTGTTGTTTGTGGGAGAAAAGGCACTGCTGGGCTTCTTGGGTGGTGGAGGTGCTGAGATGCTAAAATATTCTGTTCAGCTGCAGGAACTTGTTGACTCACTGTGTGTAAAGACCCTTGTGCATGTGCAGGGAGGGTGCCATCCCTTTTGTTAGAGTTGCTGGTTGCATGCAAGGTGGAGATCTCATGGTGAGCATCTCTGTTCTGAGGGCAGAGGTGGTTCCCATTTATCACTCTTATCTGCATCTTGGAGGGTTCTCCAAGTGTGCAAACCTTGTGTGTGTTCCTTCACAACCAAGCTTCCAAGGGAAGGAGCATTCTGCCAGCATCCCTGAGGCACTGATGGGCACCTGGTCCCCAGGCAAGGCAGAGCTGATCCTGAAGAACAGCCCTGGAAGGCAGGAGTTGTGGGTGGCAGGATGGAGCCTGGCAAGTTGCTCTTCTGATTGCACTTCTTGCTAGTGCAGGCACTCATTTTTCAGGGAGTAGGTAGAAGGTGTAGGTTTGGTGGTTATTCTAATGAGCAGCTCATTCTTACACCACTGCTGGCAGCAGATGGAATGGGAGAGGCTCTTTCAGTCCCCAGAGTGATGTTCTCTGGCAAAGGCTTCATCTGCATATGAGAAAAATAGTTTCATGACTACAGTCCTGAAGCTGTGAGTCAGGAAATTTAAAATGATAGCTTCTCCTAGGCTTATCCACTGGGTTTTATGTGACTTAGATGGGTGTCCCCAGTTTATACCAGTGTCATCCTGCTATAAAATGGGATAAGTTATTTATTGGCTGTCTTTGGTGCTTTCTGGAATATGTGGAGGTAAAGTTGTTTAAAAGTGCTTGGCATTACCATTTCATACATTTGGGACTAGAAATCCTGAAGGACTAAGTGCTGCCTGACCTTTCAGCCTCTGCAGGAAAGGAAGCCTTTTCTCCTGTGTAGTTTAGTTATTTGCAGCCCACTAGATCAAAGGCAAATTGTCAACCACAAAATCCATAGGATTGATGGGATTGTAAGGAAACACAGGCCTGAGTGGGATCCCTCAGTGTGAAAATAAATCCTCAGATGGGGAAGAAGATGTAGCTCTTCCTTTCTGGTTTCTCTCACTACCATGGCATCCATCAGAAAGCAAATATTCTCTTTTTCATCTCTTTTTATTGCATCTGTGATTTTTTTTGTTAGACACCAGCATAACATTTCCTGCTTGTCAACCTGGGATATTAATTAAAGATATGCACAAAGACAGAGCCTACAAAAGGCTGTTGCAAATCCTGACTGTACTGAGCAGGTTGCAGAATTGCAACTCCACCTCATTTGCAGCCTGGTGTTGTCTCTGCAGACCCAAAAACGGTGGGAAATACTGCGTGGGTCGTCGCATGAAGTTTAAATCCTGCAACACGGAACCGTGCTCAAAGCTGAAGAAGGATTTCCGGGATGAGCAGTGTGCCGACTTCGACGGGAAGCACTTCAACATCAACGGGCTGCCCACCAATGTGCGCTGGGTTCCCAAATACAGCGGCAGTAAGTGGCTGGGGGGTGCAGATCCTGCCTGCTGGATCGCTGCTAGGGGTGAGGGTGTTGAGATAACGTGCTCCTGGTCTCCCTCCCTCCCCTGCAGTCCTGATGAAGGACCGGTGCAAGCTGTTCTGCCGGGTGGCGGGGAACACGGCCTATTACCAGCTGCGGGACCGGGTCATCGACGGGACGCCCTGCGGCCCCGACACCAACGACATCTGCGTGCAGGGCCTCTGCCGGGTAATCATTGTCCCTGCTCCTCACCAAAGGGGGATGGCAGTTCTGTAGGGCGGGCTGGGGCTTCTGTGCCATGCTCCAGGCAGTTGCTGGCATGTTCTCTTCACTCAGAGGATGCCAGCAGCATCTGCAGGCTCTGTAAGCCCCAAATGGTCTGAAACTTGTGCCAGCCTCCGGATTTGCTGAAGAGCCACATGTAGAATCATAGGATCATTTAGGTTGGAAAAGACTTTTGAAATCAAGTCCAGCCATTAACCCAGCACTGCCAAGTCTACCACTAAACCATATCCCCAACTGCCATATTTACTACATGTCTTCTAATACCACCAGGGAGGGTGACTCCCACCACTACCCTGAGCAGCCTGTTCCAGTGTTGACAACCTTTTTGGTGAAGAATTATTTCCTAATATTAAATCTAAGCCTCCCCTGTTGAATGTGAGGCTGTTTTCTCTCGTCCTGTTGCTTGTTACCTATGAAAAGAGCCTGACTCACACCTGGCTACAACTTCCTTTCAGGTAGTTGTAGGGAGTGAAAAAGTCTCTCCTGAGCCTCTTTTTCTCCAGGTTGAGGTTCCCAGCTCCTTCAGCCACTCCTTATCTTATTCTAGACCATTCACCAGCTCTTGGGACACACTCAAGTGGAAGATGTTTGCACATCTGCCCTAAGTTACTGAGGGCTGTGGAGTCTCGGCCTAAATCCCAGTGTTGCTTCCTTCTGTGCTTTGCCCCAGTTCTTCCTGATCAGACCCCAGAGTCCTACAGTACCATTCACAATTGTTCTTCACACTTTTCTCTATGGGAAAAATTGATGCAAGAATCTTTTTTCTAGTGAAGGCATTACCTGGTGCAAACAGTTGTTCTGATTCTTGCTTTGTAAAAGTCTTTTATTGTAAAACCTTGTGGGATGGCCACACTGTAAATTAGTGGAAAAATGTGAGGAAGCAAACCAGTTTATCTCACGGCAGCCTTTTGCATACACAGCTTTTGTGTGCCTTAATTAGGAGATTTGTCAATGCTGTTCTAGTCTGTGTTTGCTCAATCTATTTTTTTCAATTTTTCTCTTAAAGCAAGCTGGATGTGATCATGTGCTGAATTCAAAAGCAAGAAGAGATAAATGTGGTGTTTGTGGTGGGGATAATTCTTCATGCAAAACTGTTGCAGGCACATTTAACACGGTGCATTATGGTAAGAATCTGTTGCTAAAAACTTAAAAGTGAAGAATGTGGGTCTATAAAAGCCACTATGGCACTTAATCTACAAAAACACTGATGTAAAATACAAAATCCTTCTAGCTATAGTATATTCCATTTTATAACTATTTATGCTATCCCTAAATGAAAAGTATCAGCTTGTATAATGCGAGGTAACTTAGCTCATTTCCCTTTTCCTGTAGAAAACAAACCAAATGCCTGTGTAATAGCCTTGACTTTCTGTTAAATCTTTCCTAGGTTATAACGTTGTGGTTCGCATCCCAGCTGGTGCCACTAACATTGATGTGCGCCAGCACAGTTACTCAGGGAAACCAGAGGATGACAACTACCTGGGTGAGTTGTACTCCTTATTTCACTCCAGAAATCTGCTTGGTTGTCTGGTTGTGGTGGTAGATCTACTGGCAGCTCTCTGCTGGGGAGGTTGAGGAATTAATTTAAGGGAGATGTTTTCTTGGTGAGAATTTTTCTGTCTGCCAAACATTCAGCCTTATCTTCTTCCTTTTGTTTTGTTCATTTCATCCTAGATGCAAAGTTTGGGAGGTTCACCAGCTATAAGAAATGTTCCCTTAGGGTGTGTCTAGGGCTGTGAAGGATGGTTGAGCCTGGGTGGGAGCTGAGGGACAAAGCTGAGAATCAAACAGGATTCTGATCTCTGCTGGAGTCCCCTCACTGCAACTTTGTCTCTAGTGTCACCATGCTTTGGTTGGTGCTGTGTCCTGAAAGATGTTTGTGCAAAGAAATACGAAGAGAAATTACTTTCTATTCTTCTGAGAATAATAATTCTGATTTCACTTAGTGTGGGGCCTTCTTGTCCCTGCCTGATAGTGACATGTAACTGTAAAGAAATATCCTGCACCAAAAATGTTGATTTAAACCTGACAGTAACTTGGCCTTTGTCTGTTGAACTTTCATAGTCACTGTTTTCTCTAATCTGTGGCTGTGTCTTTAGAGGCAGATGAAAATGCTTGTGGTGCTGTGTTACTCTGCTACATGCACATATATGCTGTTAGCACGGCCATGAGTGTCTTTTCCACCATGATCATTAACCTGAAGGCTGATTTTGCCATTAAGTCCTGTTTGGGGTCTCTCAGAGTCTCTGGTCCTCCTCTTTTGCACATCCTGTGCCTTACACTACCAGCTGTGTTCCAGTAGAATGGGGTCCTGTACTTAGATCTTTGAACAGGGCACTTCATCTTGTTCTATCTCACCAAATTCCTGTATCTAGGTATGTTAAAAAGGGGAGTTGGCTGGTGGCCCCTAGCCCATCAAAGGTAAAGAGACACATTTAAGAAGCAAGTACCATAGACTACCAAGCACCAAAGAGAGGCGATTCTGTCAGCCTTGGCTGTTATTCTGAAATGCCATCCTTGTGGCTGGGCCCTTCATTGAGGCAAAAAATTGAGGTGGTGCAGCATGAATGCACATCAGCACCAAAAAAAACGTTACTGTGGTCTCAGAGTTTTCTGTCTTGGAGAAGGGAGGCAAATTTTATTTTTCATCTTTCCTGGAAAAAATAATCCTCCATATGTTGTGCCTATTCAAACTGGTTCACCCTAGAAGGAGCCCCAAAGTTCTCAGCTCTTCATGGAGGGCCTTTAATCTTCTTGGGAAACAATGAAGTCAAATCTTCTTTAATGTTGCTTTAATATTGCTGGGAAAGCATCTCTTCACATTAGGCCTGACTGGAAGCAAATGAGAAGTGTGCACGTGTCCACTTACTTTGCAGCTCACTGAGTGTGAAATCTTGGGCCCTCAGTTACTGTGAACCTTGTAGTTGCTTAACAATTTAGGAGGAATTAGATGTTGTCATCAGGTCCAAGATGTACCTACTGTTATAGGAGATACAGTAAAAGAGAAGGAATCCTTTAATGAGTTTTACTACTGCCTAATACACTAATAACACTCCAAAGTGTGAAACTTGGTTGAGTGTAGCCTCTGCTTTGTGAAGTTTTCTCTGTCTATGTCTGTTTGCTACTGAGCAGTGTTTTGCTTCATTGTCTCTCCTCATTCAATGGAAAAACCTTCCCTTTGGTGTTTTGGTGTTTAGATTTTTCAGTACAGGGGCTTTTTAGCAACATAGCTGTGATGGGTGAAATGGTGGGGAAACTAACTTAGGAAATTAGCTACATAATCGCATTAGTGTGAAGTTGTGCAGCAGACTGCTGTTTTCAGGAAACTGTTCCTTTTATAAAGCATTTAGGCTTTAAGCCTCCAGAGCTCTCACATACCTTAAGATTTGGAATAATAAAAAGTACAGGGGGAGGAGGGGAGAGGGAGACAAAGGGGGAGATACTGACCAAACTCCCTGTACTCACATACTAGAAGATTATGTTTAGGTAATTGGAGTGCATACATTTTACCCTAAAAACACACCTGGAAACACCAGGGAAGTCACCCTATCCACACAGCTAATGAAAAGGTTTGGGTAGGATTATTTCTGTGGTATATGTGGGGATGCAGCCTACATGTGCTCCTTGCAGCAGCCAGCCCACAATGCCTTTTGGATATCTCTGCACTGGGTTATGGATGAACTGTTCAGCAACAACTTCAGGAATTCAGCCTTCAGTTTTAGGAGGCTTTCCAGTGGAAAAAAAGAGAAGGCACAATGTCTGCAAGAGCTCTGCTGCTCACTGTACATCCTTTCTGTTTGAGAGTGCCAGTGGGGTTTTCCCCCCGCCCCCAAGGGAAAGGAGCCCTGAGAGCACATGACCCACGTTGTTATGTACGTATGAGTTAATTCTGCCTCTTTAGTTCTTGTTTTTTGCACCTATGCAGCCTTATCTAACAGTCAAGGAGACTTTATATTAAATGGAGACTTTGTCGTCAGTATGTTTAAAAGGGAAATCAAAGTTGGGAATGCTGTGATCGAATACAGCGGCTCCGATAATACTATTGAAAGGATTAATTCTACAGATCGGATTGAGCAAGAAATAACACTTCAGGTGAAGTATATGTTGTGTGTTTGGACAAGTCTGCCCAGCATTGTTGGTCTGAAAACAGTGGGCAGTGATATCTGTTGGTTTACTCTGCTTCATTTTTCTTCCTCTCAGGTTTTATCAGTGGGCAATTTGTACAATCCTGACGTTCGTTACACGTTCAATATCCCTATTGAGGACAAACCTCAGCAGTTTTACTGGAATGAGCATGGCCCATGGCAGCCCTGCAGTAAGCTCTGCCAAGGTGGGTGCTTGGGAAGGCTAAGTTTTCTCCTGGATTCATTTAGGCATTGCTGTCAGATCCCTCTCTGATCTCTTCAAGATTTTCACCCTGTGGGTACGATTGTTTCTCTGGTCTGTAGTGGAGGGTAACATCCTACGAGGTGTTTCTGGGTTTCAGAGCAGGGCACCTGACAGCCCCTCCCAGCCAGGTGAGCCTCACAACCTGGTTTGCAGGTGAGGAAGCTGAAGCACAGAAAAGGTCATGAGGCATTTCCTAAGGCTGCAAAATGCGCCAGTGTCTGGTTTAGGGTCTGACATCCAATCACTGCCAGTGCCCACCCTGCTAAATACTCACTCAGAGCCCATCCTTGTGGGGGTACTGCAGCTCTCTGCCTGTGTCCATCCCATCTGCAATAAACCCCTTCTGCTCTGCTTAGTCTTAAACCCCCTCCCTGTTTGTGACAGAGGTAAAAAAGAACACCTAAAGATTTCTTAAATACTACTGTGAAAGGTGTAAGAGAAATAACTGACTTGATCACCTTGCTGCATGACTCAAACCAAGTGCTGGTTTTCTCTGTGCAGGAGAACGAAAAAGGAAGCCTGTGTGTAAGAGAGAGTCAGACCAGCTCACGGTGTCAGACCAGCGATGCGATCGAATTCCCCAGCCTGACCCCACCACTGAGCCTTGTAACACAGAATGTGAATTAAGGTGCACTGTGCTCCACTGTGTATATAAATAACATTGTGTGCTTTTTATTTACTCCTCTTTCCTTTTGCTTCTCACCATAATTCCCTTTCTTACCAGCCTGTATTAGATTTTGAAAAAGAAAAGGATTGGTAGTTGCCTCTTTGTCAACCCAGAGGGATTGTCCTCCACCAGTGGTGTTTTGAAAGCCACTTTTCAATGTTTTTACATTTCTCTTGCTGGATTCAGCTAGGGCTAACTATAACAAAAATTCTCTAATGTTGAAAAATCTCCCTGTGCAATACAGGGCCTGAAATTTGCATCTGCCTGGATAAGAAATGCTCAGCACCATTTTACATACAGCCTGCAAAGAGGGGAAAACATATACTTAAAGCAAAAACATAGCTAAAACTTGGATTTTTCAGTGTATTTAAAACAAAGAATAGGCTTAAGTGTAGAATGGGTTCGGGGCTGTCCCCAGACAATTCCAGGCAAGCTGGAATTGGTGGAGCACAGCCTAAATCATCACAACCCATTTTCCTTTAAAAAGCAATCTGTTTTCCTTCCTGAGGCTTAAATGTGGTGGCATTAAGCAGCCGCTGGTGAAGCAATTCAGATGGCCGCGTTTCCCGAGGGGTTTCTCCAGCCCTGCTGAAGCGGCAGCGGGGCTGGGTTGTCGCGGTAACAGCTGTTGCCATTGCAACAGGTTGGAAACTTGAGAAGGGCAAACGCAGGAGTCTGAAAAGCATGCAGGGATGTGGGGCTCCCACCAGTCAGGAGCTATTGATTCCAAATCCCCTTGATCTTATTCTTCTCTGGGCTGTGATAGAGTTTGCTCTCTTGGTTGGGAGTGGGGCTCTATGTGCCTCAGGGGTTAACCCCAGAGGATGTCATTGTCTCTCCCCCAGAAGCCACCCCTGCCAGGCATGAGGGGCAGTGGGCTCCTGTTGGCTCCAGGGTCTCCAGCACCTCCCTGGATCAGGCCTCATGTCCAGCATCCCTTTCCAGAGCTGGGCTGATATGAAGTAGGAGTGTATCCCCATATGGATCCTTGGGGGCCTCCAGCGCCATCCCTGTTGTCTGTCTCATGGAGGAGGCAGCAGGATGGAAATTTGTCTGTCAAGGAGAACACCTCTAATCCCTGCTGACACAGCTGGGGCTTGAGTGTCTTGTAGCAAGTCATTTGCTTCTCCTTTGGAGAGCTGAAACTGCTTTGTAGATGTCGTGTAATGTGGGACACCTCTCAAGCCTGTGCAGATCATTTTCTGATGCTGTATTTTCCAGCTTTTAGTTTTTAGAAGCTGAGGTGGCAGGTGCAGGGGAACATGGGGTGGTAAGCTTTCAGAAGCTTTCAGAGCAGTGTTCCTTGCCTGGCCATGAACTCTCCTTGCCACCTTGGCTGGTCCCACAGGGTTACAACGTGGCTTTGCTGTCCTTCTGTTGCTTGAGATCTGCTGACAGTTCCTTCCCTTCAAGCAGCAATGCCAGGGTAATTGGAAGTCCCAAAGCACTGGGAAGTGTGTCACAGACCCAAAACTTCCTATTCAAGAGCACATATTCCTTATTTCTGTCCAACCTTCGAGACATGCCCTGCAGAGCCCAGGGCTGATGTTTGCTGTCCTTGGCACAGGTGGCACATCGCGAGGAAGAGCGAGTGCACGGCGCAGTGCGGGCTGGGCTACCGCACCCTGGAGATCTACTGCTCCAAGTACAGCCAGCTGGAGGGCAAGATAGAGAAGGTGGATGACCGCTTCTGCAACAGCCAGGCCAAGCCCAGCACGAGGGAGAAGTGCACTGGAGACTGTAACGTGGGAGGATGGCGGTACTCGGCCTGGACTGAGGTAAGGGATGCTCCTGTGGCATGGCAAATGCTGCTCCTTGCACAACAGTACATCGAGCTGTTTAGGTTGCTAAAAGAATGTATGTAAAATGGTCACAGTGGTTCTGGTTTCATTGCTTCCTCTGGAGGACACTTCAGTCTGAATCAACCTGGTACTCCTTACCTTTCACTGCAGTTAATCTATACTTTAAGTATCTGTCTTCATTTCATGAAGCTCTGCTAGCTATCTTCTGCCATCAAAGCTGTCACCACTGCCAGGAGCTGGGGAGGACATGTTGCCATCGTCAGAGGACTTCTGAAATTTGTTTCCTTTACACATCTTAGCTTTTGCATCAACAAGAAAATTCCTGAATGCAGGCACCAAGAGACTGATGAGCCTGGGGATTTCCAGGGAGGTCACAGTGAAGGGGGCTGACTGGTCAGAGAGAGTTAATATCTCCTAAAATGAAAACGAGCAGCAGCCATTTAGGAGAACTGAAATGCAACACTTGTAAAAGTAATAAGGGGGCTATAACCTGAAATGAATTTGTGAAACACATTGCCATGACATTTTATTAAGCTTAGCAAGATTAGCTTTTTTAAGGAATACATAAAGTAAAAGCCTGTTATTCAAAGTATAAATTGTTGTTGGAGGTTTCCTGCAGTCACTCCACAGTGACTGCAAAGAGGGAGGGGGCAATAGCAGTAGAGTGGCAGGAAACACTGACGGGGTGTGTGTCCCTCGCAGTGCTCCAAGAGCTGCGGCGGGGGCACGCGGCGGCGCCGAGCCATGTGTGTGAACACCTACAACGACGTCCTGGACGACAGCAAGTGCAGCCAGCAGGAGAAACTGACGGTGCAGCGATGCAGTGACTTCTCGTGCCCACAGTGGAAAACTGGCGACTGGTCCGAGGTGGGTGCTGGTCACCAGGGTGGGCTCACCCCGCTGGTCCTCCACCCTGAGGAGCTGGTACCTGAAAAGAGGTGTCTCCATCCCTGCTGGTCTGTCATGATTTGTTTGCAGAAAGGGGCAAGCCTGTGCACAGGGAGGCTTCAGACAAGCAGCAAAGTCATTTGCCTTGTTACCACTGGTCAAGTAGCCACTTTACTCCCTGCAAAGCCACAGAGGGTTAATGTCTCTCCAATCCTGCAGTAATTTCTCCCCAGCTTTTCCATAGTTCTGCTGTATATTTGGGAAGAAAAATACCTTCTGCCCTCATTTTCCCTTGAGATTGTCCTCAAGAGCCCTGGCAGCTCTGGCTGTCACTGGAGGGCAGGATTGCACCCTGCTGATGTTTTGCTCAGATTCTCTCTGCTGTTTATTACCTCTTCTACTGCTGCTGGTGTTTTTTGCAATGCAACAAAACTATCTTGATAGATTAGTCTCTGCAGCAGGACTGGGGGTGCTGGAAAGCAGTCTTCAAAGGGTGCTCATCATCATTGTGAACAAATTTCTCTTTTTTCTGTGAGTCGTGTTCTTTTAGGGCATAATGAAAGCAATTAAATGGGAGCAGGGATTGTTCTCTATGAAACATATCTTCTGATTCGAGCTGGTGGCAGTCCAAGCCATGCCAGGGCAGTGGAAGAGGCACTCGCAGCCTAGAGAAGCCAAGACCCTTAAAAGCACGCTCAGAAGGAACAAGTCTTTTAGAAGCACCCTGTTGTGCACAGCTAAAACCCCACAGGGCAGTGCTGTGCCTTTGCCCGTGTTTCACAGCTGCTGGAAGTCAAGAGCCTTTGTGGTCTCACTTTGCCCATGCTGAAGGATTCTGGCCCAGCTGTGCTCTCCATGCTCCAGCCCCTGCTCTAGGCCAGCTCCTGAGAGCAATCTTCTTGTTGACAAGACACTTCCACATCTCCTAGGACATGTTGATGTTAGCTAAAGAGCTGCACTTAAGCACCAGTAGTTTCTTTTAAGCAGTAGTTGCAATAGGTCTCCAGGTTTATTTTCCAGTGCCAGGGCAGGTGCTGAGCTGGCTGTGTGTCCCCAGCACCACCTGAGCTTGCATTTTTCTCCTTGCAGTGCTTGGTCACCTGTGGAAAAGGGCACAAGCACCGCCAGACGTGGTGCCAGTTTGGAGAAGATCGATTGAACGACAGGTTTTGCGACCCCAAGACGAAGCCGGAGTCGGTGCAGATGTGCCAGCAGCAGGAGTGTGCCTCGTGGCAAGTGGGGCCGTGGGGCCAGGTACCACACAGCCCCACAGGGCTCCTGGCTGGGGGGACCTGGATGAGGGTGGCTGGGGCTGGGCGCTGCCCTTTCATCCAGATTCAGCAGCGTAACTGTGTTAATTGATTTGTACACCAAAGCAGCTCTCTCTTTGCTTGGGTTCAGCGGATAGGCAGCAGTAACAGTACCTGCCCTTTGTGCTAAATTTAATCTCTGTCATATTAAATTTGCCATGATTTTCAAAAAAAAGGGGTTTCCAAGGTTACGCTCCTAAATCCATATTTAGGCACATAAATACATGGCCTAATTTTCACAGAAAAGCTGTTCACGTTGAATAACTTTTGTTGCTTTTAATGTTTTCCAGTTTCTGGGTAAGTGAGGGATTTTTTTCTGTTAAAATACAAGTTACTCAATCTTCCCAGAGTGTTCTGGCATTGGCTTTTTCATAAAACTGTTAGCTCTTGACTTAAAAAACAGCAACAAACCAGACCAGTTGTCCCAGTCAGACATATTTCCCATCAGTAAAATTATTCATTAGCTGCTCATGCTACCATGGGGCTGAACAACCAGTTTTAAAGAAGGATATCATGCAGGTTCTACCAGACTCTGGGTCTAATGTGTGCAGCAAAGTAAATCATTTCAGTGCTTGTACCTTCCTTCCCAAAGAAGCAAGTGAAGCGTGCAAGGCACTGGTGGCTGCAGTGAGTTAAAACTTTGACCTAATTTAAAGCTGAAATGCATGAAATGGAGAGAAACCAGAAGGGAAACTGTCTTTTATTTTTGGTGCTCTTGCTACGTGCCTAAACAGAAGCTGGGCTAATTAATACTTTCTAACCAAAGCACTACTCAGACCCAGTGCTCTTCTCTCCCATCTTTCTCCCAGTGCACTGTGACTTGTGGCCAAGGCTACCAGATGAGAGCAGTGAAGTGTGTTGTGGGCACCTACGTGTCAGTGGTGGATGATAATGAGTGTAATGCTGCAACCAGGCCTACAGATACCCAGGTAAATCCTGCTGTCTAGTCTCCATCTTTTCCCAGTGTGTCCCAGAGGCATCCAGGCTACAGGTTCAGGGGACATCTTGCTGCAGGAAAGCTTTGCCCTGAATGCCAGCCCTGCAGAGCAGTACCTTGGGCTGCTCATGGTTGTTGGAAAGGTGCAGCACAGCACCCCTTAGGTAGAAATGGGACAGATAAACCGTGTTCAGGAAGTTCCCATCTAGATCTTCTCCATGTGGCTCACTTTACACTCTGAAGTACCAGATTGCCAGAAAGGCAACAGACAACCTGTGAGGGTATCAGGACTTTGTGGGTGAAGATTAATTACCTTTGCTTATGGTTTATATCCATGGAACTCTAGTCATACAATGGGATGTGAGGGTGTGTTCAGATGCAGCACTAAAGCTGAACTCTCAAGAGTTCATGAGCTAAAGAAGCTGCAGTGGTTGAGTATGGGATAACAAGAGACCACAAAGCTGAGACAGTATTTACTGGCCTTAGAGGTTCAGGTCTTGAGACAGCAGATACCTCCTTTGGCTTGCATGATGTTGAGGATGCCTGGCTGCAGTCTGGGCTCATGTGGCAGCAGAGCTGTTGCTGTTGCCCCTCACCACAAATGATGGTGAAAGGCCATAATTTCTTGTCTACTGCATGTGACAATGTAGGGTTTGTAACAGCTGCAGTGACAGATATGTCCTCCCTGGTCATATCACTTGAGAAATGTTGCACATCCTTTGTTGAAGAGGTTTTCCATGCTGTGTACTTGGAAGCAAACATGTAAATTCCCATTTCAAGCAGAGGATATGTCCAGGGTGTTTGGAGGAGCTGAATAAAACAGAACATTACCATCTATCTGTCATCTAGGAGAGCTGTAGTGCTCATGCCCTGCCCAGCTTCTTGCATGAACTCACAGAGTTTAACTAAGGCCACTAAATTTGGGAAAGAGCTGTTTCTCCCATGTATAGAGACCACTTGCACTACAGTCAAGGGGTAACAAACCCACCTGTCATCAGCCATCATTTGGCATGCATGCCTCCAGCATAAGTGAAATCACAGCAAAATGGAAATCAGGTATGCCATTTGTAAAAGCTGCTCTCTTCCTCATAGGGACAATCTCTATAATTTCCTTATTGGCAAGAACTACTCAATGGAGTAAAGTCATGGATGTTCATAGGTTTTGGCACCAGGCCTCTCAGGAGGTCCAGGCAGGACCACAGCCCTCCTGTGAGGCACCATACAGTGGTCTGAGCAGGATGATATGCCTGTCCCCAAAACCTCACGTTGCTTGGTGTGTGGTGGAGATCAGCACATGGATATAGGTGGTCTGATGGGCTGCAGGGAATCAAAGGGCTGCAATCACCAGCATAACCTTTACTTTGTGGGCTGCAGGTCTCACACTGAAGGAAGGGAACTTTGAAGAGAGATAAAGTTGCCGTTTTGCAGATGTGTGTTCATGCCAGAACCCTTAATGAACTTTCATCTTTTGCCTCAAAAACATCTGGTTTTAATGCATGGAGATGGCATATGGTTATGGGGATCCCTATTGTAGAGTTTCTAATAAGTCAAAAGTCCACACAGGGTACTGCATATGAAGGCCCCAGGATACTGATACTGAGTTTTGCTTATTCACCAAGAGGGTTCAGGGAGGAAGCCTGCCTGCACAACACGTGCAGGTCACAGAGTTTCAAGATGTTGCGTGTTCTTCATAATTACATTGAAGAGGAGGTGGTTTAATCAAAACATCTGCAAATTATTTATTTCCTGCTTTTCCCTCATGTATTTCCTGTACAGGACTGTGAAATAGCTGTATGTCCTTCCCATCCAAATAGTCCTGAAGCCAAGAGAGCCATATCAGGCATTCACAGAACGCAGTGGAGATTTGGATCCTGGACACCGGTAAGCACACATCATAATACTTTCAGGATTATTTTACAGTAGACAATGTGATATTTTTAAGTGTATATGCCCAACTTTTCATTACAAAGTCCTTGCAATGTGTATCAGGCAACTTCCTAGTGGAGTGCTCTTTGCTTTCCCCTAGTGCTCCGCAACGTGTGGGAAGGGAACCCGGATGAGATATGTCAGCTGCCGGGATGACCAGGGCTCTGTGGCCGATGAGTCAGCTTGTTTCCACCTTCCAAAGCCATCAGCCACGGAAATGTGCACCGTGACACCGTGCGGGCAGTGGAAAGCCTTGGAGTGGAGCTCTGTAAGCATCACGCTGTCTCTTGCAAGAGACCTCATTGCTGGAAATGTGCTTCATTAGTCTGTCGCACTTGCCCTTTTAGAAGTGAGGTTATTTGGGTTTTCTGCTGTTCATTATTAGCAAGATCTGGTTTTCAAAACTGGAAATGTGACTGTGTCTCCTTTTCCCACTGTAACACAGTGCTCGGTGACTTGTGGTCAAGGTAAGGCAACGCGACAAGTGATCTGCATCAATTACAGTGACCAGCTGGTGGATAGGAGCGAGTGTGACCCAGAAGACCTCCCTGCCACCGAGCAAGACTGCTCCATGTCTCCTTGTCATCCAAACAGCCATGACTACGGCAGGCCCATCCCCCCTTTCCTCTATCCGGATCATCGCCTCAAGCCGCACCCCGGGGGCAGCCCGAACCGAAACCGTGCACATATACCAGGAGGCAATCAGTGGAGGATTGGCCCTTGGGGTGCTGTAAGTGCCCTGATTTTCTTATTCCTGGGTTTTGTTGGGTTTTGTTTATTTCCCAAGCTAATCCAGTCTTTTCTTAAAGTCAGCACAAATGGAAAAGAGAGAGGGAGCTTTCTCCCCACTGTCTGCTCTCTGCTCACACAAGCAAGTGCTGCAGAAGGGCTCAGGCTTGTCAGCCTCTCATACCTCGTATCTCCAAGATAGTCTAGGCAGAAAGCTGACAGCATCATTTTCAATGAGACAGAGGCCAGCCTCTGCTACTTGGCTGTCTCCTGGGACATTTACAACTGTGCAGAGTTGTTGCCAAAGCAGAGCCTTGACGCCAGCTTCTCTCACGGCAAACAGTGTGCTTTATCGTGGAAGTCTCTAAAGGGAATTAAGCACAAATGGGATGTCAAACACTGCAGCAGGGATTACTCACCTGCTTAAAACTAGGCTGGCATTTACTTTCTTTGCTTAGTCAGCACCTAAGTCATTGCACTGCGATTAGCAATAGCTGGGTTTTGAAGTTTAATAATGCCTGTTAGCTGTATTAAACTTCTAGCGGTGCATTCCCACGAAGCAAGGCACTGGGAAGGAGCTGGGAATGCAAACTTATTCCTGGGCTCAATGAAGCCATGGGCAATTGTGTCTTTCAGTGCTCTAGCACGTGTGCTGGGGGGTTCCAGCGGCGGGTGGTGGTGTGCCAGGATGAAAACGGATACACCGCAAATAACTGCGATGAGAAAAGCAAACCCATGGAGCAGAGATCGTGCGAGTCTGGCCCCTGCCCTCAGTGGGCCTATGGCAACTGGGGAGAGGTGAGTGCACCATCCATCTGGGCTCCCTGCCCAGGGCAAGCCTTTCATTAGAAGGTGGCTGAAAAAAGGGAGAAGAGAGGGGTATTGTGGTGACATTTATTAGAAAGATTGGAGCTTGAAGGGCAGCCTCTGATAAATGAGTGAACCCGAATAATTGCTGGGTGGTGTTTTCATTTCCATTTGTCATGGGAAAACTTCCTTCCCAGGCAAAAGTAAGTTTTACAAAAACAAAGATTTTTTTCAATTTTTTTTTTAAGAGAAGCCTAGTGTAACTGAAGACTTTTTTTTTTAATAAAAGCATCACTTCCTTTTGAAAATTAATCTGAGATGAGCAATTGGAGATGTAAACCTCCAATATCACATTGAGCTGGGCAATATCATGGTGGAGCAGCATGAACAGCTTTAGGGGGAGAGAAGCTGAGGCAGCTGAAGATCCATCTGAGGCTCATGAGGGGCATTTGGCTGGAGTTGGTTAGTTGGGAACAGAAACACTACCATTGGGTTTTTGAGGTGCTAGTGCTTTGGGCTGCAAGTGAGCAGTATTTTTGCTGTCCCAAGGGTGATTGCTCTGTCTTCTGCTGACTTGCAGTGCACAAAGCCATGCGGAGGAGGGACAAGGACACGGCTGGTGGTGTGCCAGCGCCCTAATGGAGAAAGGTTTACGGATCTGAGCTGTGAAATCCTTGACAAGCCACCAGACAGAGAGCAGTGCAATGTGCAGGACTGTCCTAGAGATGCTGCCTGGAGTGCTGGTCCTTGGAGCTCGGTACGACCATAAACTCTTTCTCTTTGTGAACCGTTTTGTAGATATCCCCTAACAACGTTTATTTTGCTTCAAACCAAGGTGCTAATGCTTCATGTCTTAAAACTGCACTTACAGAGGATTATTTACAATATATTCAGAATAACACCTCTTCAGGAAGGGCTTACATTAGGAGAGCTCGAGTCCTTTAATTTAAAAGGCACTTTCAGCTAAGTAGCCACCTTTGTCCATTTTATTACACTATTCAAGTGCTGTGCATTATGAATCTTGGTTCTTACTAAGTTTTTGCATATGGATTTAAACCCAGAATTTAAGCAGTACAATTCCATTGAAGTTAAAGTGTTCTGCTCTTTAATGGTAATACTGCACTGGGCACCTACTGGTTTAGCAGTCACGTGTTCTCTGCCAAAAGCAAGATAAGTGGGGAGAATGTGCTAAATGCCATCAATTCCCAGGCATGTGTAAGTGTGTGTAGATGTGTGTGCATGTCCCTACCTGCCCACACACAGACCTACAGAGAAATGTGTGTGCATTCACACCTGTGCTCCATTTCTGTTCCTGTGTATATAATAAGACTGTGATGTACAGTGCAAAGGCACCTGTAAGCTATTGTCGTGTATCTCTCTGGTTCTGGAGAGTGATTGTCTAGCTCGATCTCCAGCTGCTGCTCTATCACTAAGCCAGAAAATGATCAGCAAAGTGCTGGAAGGCTTAAAAACCCTGGGAGTTTCCCAATAACGAAATAGTATTTGGAGCAGAGGTATCTTACATTGCTCCTTTGCTGCTGGAGGAGTCTGCTACAGAGATGCTCTTGTGAGGACAGAGCAGCCCTGAACCACAGCGTTGGGGTGCTGTCTTGGGTGCCACACCTTTGCAATTCTCACTGCCCAGAGCAGCAGCCTCTGCTCTGATCCTGCACCAAAGCAAGTGCAACCTGAGGTGCTTCTGGAGCCCTGGAAAACCATGGATCTGTCCATTTGGGAGTGGCCTTCAACCTTTATTGTATATTTTGTTATAAAAGCATTTGAAGACAATTTTTTAAAAAAATCTGATTCAAAAGCACTTTATAGGAAACGAAAAAAGGAGGCCTGTATTTTAATGTATTGGACTTCCTTAATTGTCACAGTTTGGAAAGTCATCTTGCCAAAACCTTGCTCTCCTTCTGTGGGTGCTTTCAGTAACATGGATGCCTTCAGTAACACTCTTCAATATCTTTATCATACCTCAGTGAGTTCTGCAATAGCCATAAAACTGATGAACTGGTGTGTATCCGGTGCTTCACCAGTACAAGAGACAGTGCTATGAAATATTTCATTTGAGGTGCTAATGTACCCCTTGTCCATCAACCTGGTGCTAAGGACGAGCAAGGTGAGGTAAGCAGAGGTAGCGATGCATGTGCTGGCTGCCCCGCAGGATTTATCAGCTGGGAGGTGCTGCCAACCCTGGTTCACCTGTGCTGGACCATTTGCAAGAGCCAAAGGTGTGGACAGAGTTGTGTTTCATTCTGGTGTCACTGCCTTTTCGTGGCTGTTGAGGAGCAGGCTCTAGGGCTGCACCTGCTTCTCAGTGTTGGAAAGACAGGGTGCAGTCCTCTAGTCTGATTGTTTTCTTTTCACCCAGGAAAAGTTCCCTTGGCTCCACTCCGTTGTATTAGTCTCAGTGGGTTGTCCTTGCTCTCCTGGGAGCAGGTGGGACATCTGGCAAACAGGTGGAGGGCAGGGACACCCTGTCCTGCCTGCAGTGTCTCCTCCCAGCCCTGGGGAGGGGCTGCAGGGCTGAGCCCTCGTCAATGCCAGGAGCTGATTCGATTTTTCAGTCTCATTTACCGAGGTGTCCTTGGGCTCTGACATAGGGGACCCAGAGCTGTTTGAAGATTGAGAAGTATCTGTGGGGTCCCCAGGGCTTCGTGTCCCTCCAGCAGAACACTCCACGTGTATGTCTACCTCGTGCTGCTACTGTAGGTAGTAACGGCCAAATTTTTCTCCTTTAGTGTGGTATCACCTGGATTTGCTTTAGCTCTGTCATCGGTTGCAAACATCATTCTGTAGCTGTACATAACTTCATCTCTTGGGATGGAGTGTCACTACCATATTTTTTTGGTCACTTTTGAAACAAGAGTATAGTATTAGCTGAAACTTTTCAGCAGTATGGATTTATGTATTTATGTAAAAGTGTATTTATTTTTCCAATACTGTTATTTAATTTTATATAAATATTGCATACATTTACAATGTTTAATGTTGATGTTGAACAGTGAAAATTAAAGACAAGTAGAATGTAATCATAAATGAATTTGTATAATTTCTTGAGTCTTTTGCTAAATTCAGATCATATACTTAGTTTTGGTAACTTTTGCTAAATTTTCTGAAACAGTTCTGCAATGTTCTATTTTTTATCTGGCTTTTCTTTTACTTACTTTGTTCTCCAACAGAAATTGTCATTCTCAATGATTAAACAAACACAGTTAAAAGTGTATGAATTATGAAGTTTGGATAACTAATTTCTTGCAAGCATCTGACTGGCTTAGCATTACTCAAGTTTCAGTGAAATTAGTACTATAAAATACATACAAATTAAAGCAGAGAGAGTCTGAAGCATCCAACCTGCAGTCCTTGGGCAAAATTCCACTGGGATTTTATACAGTAAACAAGTGATCTTTATCTGGCTGGTTAAATCCAGGTTTGGAAGAGATAATTAAATGGATAAACAGATTGTATGTGTAAATGATAATTTTATAACAGGAGACTGGTGAGATGTCTTGTCATTATAATGTATGTTCAAAGAGGACTAAGAGGAGGTGACACTTTTATTCCCTTGCTTATTTAAGAACATGTATTTACCCATTGCAGAATTGTACACCATGTGATAGACCTGACCTTCTTATTAAAACCATGCTTTGGAAAACGTGCACTGACTGTCACCAGAATGCAGAGAGTGTTTTTTCTCCTCTGAATGCTTTATGGTATGAATGCAGATCTCCATACACACTCTCGAATCCCGAGAGGAAATCTTGCCATGTTCTCCAGAATGAGGGAGATGTTCACAATGAGAATTACCCATTGCTTCACTTAAAACCCAAGGTTTGGTTTTAATAAATATACCCATATATATACCACATATATAAAATATATGCATAATCTCCCTTAAAGCACCAGTCTTGGAGCAGATTTGCTCTGTGCAATAATCTCTGATATTTTGAATTTGCCTTAATATCCAACTGTATCCTGATACAACTTATGAATAATACTGAATTATCATGTTGTGGGCTTCTCATTCTTTCCAAGTTAGGAAATGGTCACAGATAAGGTAAAACAAGTATATCTCACAGCATTCTGATTCAGTTGGGTGAGTCATTTGGGCTTCACTGCACAGGGCAGTGATCATTTGACTTTGAACTCTGGAAAATGGACGGGTGAAGTTTAGATTTATTTGGGGTTTGTTTGATTTTTTTTCCAAAGAAAGTATTATAATTTTAAAAGTACTCTGCCTTGTCAAGTACTTGTCAGTCTTGGGTATCTGAAGCTTAAGCTGCTGGTGCAGTGGTTGTGTAGCTCTCAGTGTTTCCCAGCTCTGTACCCTGTAGGCAGAGGTGCTGGTATCAGAGTCTTTGAGTGCCTTTTGCTGTAATGAAGAATCAGAAGCTTACCGTCAAGTAATCAGAGCATTAACCAGCTAAGTTCCCAACTCTGTTACTGTGGATGTGAGTTTGGGTTTGGGCTAGGATAGGATTGGTTTCCCTTGGCAGGAATCTGTTGGCATTGATGGTTTTGCAGGGCTCTTTGGCTGCACACAGGGAGAGAGAGCAGCAAAGGGGCTCTGAACTGGGTGGGAAGTGGAAGAAATGCCTGGCCAACATCTGTGTCAGGCAGCTGGCGCTCTAGAATTTTAATCTTAAAGTTGGTGTCAGTGGAAACTTTGGGTTATTTGTATTTAATTCTGTCAAAGCCCCAACATGTTGTTTGCAAAATGCTTTCCCCATGCAGCTGGCTGAAAACAGGCTTCTCAACAGCAATATTTTCTGTGTCGTTGTTCTGATAATGTTCATAGCAGGCAGGATGTCAGGTCTTGCTAAGGCAGAAGTGATAACCAGGGGCAGATTTGGTTGCAAGTGTATATAACTCCGCTGTTCCCTTCTTCTCCTATGCAGAAAATGAATTTGCTGTGACAGCAGCATTGCTGAACTGCTGTTGGGGTTTTGTTTGAAGAGCTTCAGCCTGTTGCTCCTCTGAGGCAGTGGTGATGGATGCTCATGCATCTCTCTCCTCACCTCAGTGCCCACAGCTGGTGGCTCCAAGGCAATCACAGATGGGCAAAGCCAGTGGTACCCAGCTGCCCAGTAGAGTAACATCATTTTTTTTATCTCTTTTTACCCTAAAATCTCCAATTTCCATTTTTATTGTTTGCCTCTTATCACCACCTTTCATTGCTCCTCTGTTTCTACTTAAATAAGGAGAACTGTATACCTATACTTTTGTTACCAGTTCTCTGTCTCTTTTTTGGTGGTGTTGATGCTCCATTAGCAGGAAAACAGCCATGGAAGCCCATCAGCTACACCCTGCAGGTGAGGGACCACCCTGGGGCACGGGGTGCTTAACACTGAGCCAGCACCTGAGTGATTCCTGGATCAACTCCTCACAGGACTGATTTCCTGCAATTTAAAACTCAGCTGTTGCAATCCACTCTTCCTCCTTTACAGGCCCCATTGGTCTTTATACCCCTCATGACCTTTTAGTGTGATGGAGAAGTAAAAGGACTGGTCAGCAATGTCCCTTCTGACCTCCTTAATCCAGTGACTAAATGCAGGGGAATTACCAGGGAAAGGAGCTGCAGACTCTCATCTGCTGTCCTTCAACAACCTCTCCTGTTGCCACTGCCAGGACAGACAGGAGCTGGACCAGTGGTTAGACTCACAAAGGTTATTTTCAGGTATCTTGAAAATGTTCTCATCCCTTTGCCACCCAGGCAGTGAATCCTCTGCCCAAGTTCCTCAGTGCACTTTCCCA